CTGGGGTCATTAAAAACAGGCTCTTGGGGCTGGTTATATGGCAAAAATATGCCCATGTGACCTGAAGAGTATAAGAAACGCCAGATAAGTTTTCATTTTAAGTTTTTGAAATGTTCCATGCCTATGTTGGTGATTCCTGATTTGACAGTGTGTTTGTTTCCTATTGTTGATGTAATACTTCATCACAAAATTAAGAGCTTAGAACAACATGCATTTATTATCTTAGGGGCTGAGGTCAAAGTATCAGCAGGGCTGGTTCCTCTAAGAGCCCAAATGGATAATCTGTGTGGTTGCCTTTTTTTTAACTTTTAAAGGGTGTCTATATTCCTTGGCTTGTGGCCCCTTCTGAAACCTCAAAATGAGTACAGTACACATTAAATCTCTCCTAGGACCTTTATGACTTTAGTGGGTCCAGTAGATAATCTCTCAAGATCTTCACTAAAGACAGTTGTAAAGTCCCTTTTGCCATGTGAACTAACACATTCACAGGTTTCAGATACCATAAATAAACACCTTTGGGGGACCATTCATTTGCCTACCACAGGCTCTGACTCAGGCAGAACAATTAGAATTCACAGATTTCCTCTCTAGACTTCCTGGTGTGAGGCACACCTTTATTTAGTACCGCTACTACCCTGTGTCATTTTCCTGTAATAGATGATGGCTTTGTTATTTTCTTAAGCAATTAAGCTCTGTCACCATTGCTGCTGGCCTCTCGATGTCAGGAGGAACTTTACCGAAGGGGGTGACTGATGGCTAAGGAGACAGGTTGCTGCTACAGGAAGGAAGCAAAAGTGACTATGTCTAGGACACCAGGGAGTGCCCTGAAGACACTTCTTAGAGTTTCCATGTCCAACAGTAAACGATAACTGAAAAACAATACAAAAAAACCCAGAACTTCTTTTTTTCCCCAATCTGTTTTGCTTTTTAGTCCTTTTTCTTATCTAAATGCTCTGGCTAGATCCTTCAAGTATGGTGTTGAATATAAGCAGTGGGAGTAGAATTCCTTATCTTTATTTTATGGGAAAGACTTTCACCAAATATTAGATAAATATATAGATTTGTTTTTGCAAATATTATTCAACAAGTTAAAGAAACTTATTTCTATTCCCAGTTTCAATGTTTTTTAAAATTGAAAGGTACTAAATTTTATTGAGTACTTTTACTATGTCTATCAAGATGATTATGTGGTCTATTTTTTTTTTCACTATGATTAATTTTTCCTGTATAACCAACCTTGCATTCCTGGAATAAAGTCTACGTGGTCATAGTGTATAATCTTTTTTTTTAATGTTGCTGAATTCAGTTTGCTCATGTTTTCTTGAGGAATTTTATGACCATGTTCATAAGGAATATTGGCAGAGTAAGTTGTTTCTCCAACTTTTGGAAGAGTTGTAAAGACTGACATCCTTTGAACATTTGGTGCAATTCTCCAGAAGATACTGAGCTATTTGGCCCTGAACTTTTCTTTGTTGAGCTTTTCTGGCTGTTTGCTTTGACTGGGATGTGGTTTGCCCCCACGGGTTCCTATATTGGGAGGCTCTGTCCTCAGAACATTGGTCTTGGAATCTTCAAGAGGCAGGATCCAGTAGGAAGAAAACATTGGCCCTTTTCTGTCTTAAGTAGTTCAGGCTGGCCTTGAACTCATTGTGTAGTCCAGGCTGGCCTCCTCATGGCAATTCTCCTGCCTCAGCCTCCAGAGTGCTGGGATTATAGGCATGCACCACGACACCATTTCATGTATTTCTACTCTAGCCTTTTTGTTTCCTTCCGATTGCTTTGGGTTTAGTATATCTTATTTTTCACTTCTTAGGCTAGAAGCCCACTTTGCTTCCTCTCATTGTAAGCATTTATAATTATACATTTCCCTTTGGTCACTGCCTTTGCTGCCTCCCATGTTTTGGTGGTATATAATGTTTTGTTTATCTCAAAATACTAATTTCCCTTCTGGTTTATCTTTGATCTGTTAATAGTGGTTTGTTATTTTATGCAAGGATTACTGCTGGTAATTGACTTTATATAGTCTTTAGGGAAAAGAGAAGTCTACTAAATTTGAGGAACTGAGCTTTGTTATGTCTTCATTCTAGGGGGAGGGCACTTTTGTACAAAGAATAGTTACAACTTTTAACAGAAACACAAAGGAATGTTTATTATATAAATTCAAATATAAGTAGAAGGGGTGAATGTATTTTAGGTAGACAAAGGATAGAATATATTTGTTATTAAGTTTATGTCTTACAGCTTTGTATACTCTATTTCGTGATTCTGGGCCTAGAACACTGCAACATGTATTTTTCACTTATCTTACCCCCTTATTCTGTATTTTTTTGTTTTGCAACAGAATCCACGTAGTCCAAGCTGGCTTCAAACTTTTTGATTCTTTTGCCTCAGCCTGAGTGCAGGGGATTACAGGTGTCCACCATGCCTGGCTACCCCTTGTTCTGAGGTACCAGATATACTGGAAATCTAGAGGGAAGGACGAGGGACTTGCTCTTCCCTCTCTTGATTCATGTATCATCTCTGTGGTGATTCTTCATACTGGAAGCAATTCCAGTACGTTATGGTTTGGGTCTGGATGTCCCCCAACTTCACATGGTCATAGGCTTGATCTAGAGTGTGTGAAGCAGGAATTGATTCACGATGCAATGCTAGGCCGAAGGGCACTAGGAAGGGTGTGAGTGCTAACGCCCTAAGTAGTCTGAATAAGAAAAAAGGGGCAGGGAGACGTTCTCTCATTACCGTTGCTGCCTTGTGTGCCATGTTGTTTCTGCTCTGCCAGGCCTGTTTGCCATCCTTGCCTTGAGTTGGCTGATTATGGACTGAAGCCTCTATGACCTGTAAGCCAAATAAACCCCTTCCCCTCTAACTTTGGGTGTTGGGTATGTTGACTCAGCAATGAGAGAAAAGTAACTAACACACAGTAACAGCAAATGATTTGTTAGCAGTTTTTTCACAATTCCAAAAGCAGTCTCATCATGTTCTCCCAGAGACGGCAGCAGCAGCAGCAGGCTGACCCGTTCTTCAGACTCTTGGCTGCTAAGGCAATGACTCAAGCAGGGGCTCCTCCTCAAGACATTATCTCATGTCCAAGGGACCCCTCATCACAGCATCAGTAATTCCACGCTTTTCTCATTTATTCACCCAACCCCTAAAATGCTAACTACACACTGCATTTACCATTTCTGACGTTTCAGTATTCACTTCTACTTTGCTACGTATCTACTGTTTGGTTAGTGACTCTTTACTGCACATTCTATGTGTTTAAAAACAAGTATGGTTTCTGTTTCCTGACTGGACCCTGTTTGACACATGGTACCTATACATTTAAACTGAGATAGTTATAGCAAAACATTTACTATATTACTCTTCTGACTTTTTGGTATCCTTAAAATCTTTAATAATAACACCCCAGAGACAAAGTTCATCCGCATATCTGGATAGGGCTTTTGTTAAAAGATGATAAATGCCATTGTTATTTCTCCATGTAGTAAGCTGATGCCACTATGAAAAACCTCCCAACACCCAAGCCAACCAACCAATCAACTGACCAAAAAGCCTCGTTTTCTCTCAGTATGTAGGCAAAGTTCTTCATACTTATATAAGTACGATCAGAATTCTAAAATTAAGCAAATAAAATATGGTCTCCATGAAAATAAAAAGTTTCTATAGGGAAAATCTGTCCAAGTGTTTCATCTTATAGGGTAGAAAACTGAAGGCCAGGATTAGTAAATTATCCAAAATCTGGTAATAAAATTAATGAAATCATAGTATTTCCGCTACTCATTCATGATACTGGAAACTAAGTACACAAGGCAAATCTTTTCATTGTACACGACAGAAAACAAACAGGCTTGAGCAAAGAATTTACCTCATACAACTGAAAGGGAAAGTATAACTACATCTAGCAGTGGCATAAGGAATCTTTTTCCTTTTTTGCATTGACTTCTCTGACAGCTTTCCTGTGTAAGGCAGCAACATTGGCAAGCAACACTGGAAGAACTATCCTGCTTGTGTGTCATCTTCCCCAAGAATAATTCTGGAAAAAGTGCTGAAGTTGACTAATTAGCCAAGATTGGGCCACAGAGACTGACGATGGGAGAAAGATAGTTCAAGAGAACATGGAGGGTGCTGTTATCAAAAGAAGAGAATGCATGAACTCTGAGCAGGTCAAAATGTGATGATCAGAGGGCCGGACCTCCTGATTCTGAAAGGCTGATAGCTACAGGGCTGACACAGCACTTAGTGGCTAAGCCAGCACTTGAATCGAGGTCTGAAGTAGCATGAGAGTCATAGCATGCTTGTAAAAACAGAAGGAAAATAACCTTCGGTCTTTCTTTATTCTTGGAAGATCAAGTACAAAATACAATGAATTAGACAACTGCATACTACCCTACAAATTAGGATGGACTTTGAAAGCTTCAAATTTGACCTTTTCAAATTCTTACACATATTAAAGCCAGGGTTACAACAGTTTGATATAACATAGTGCTAAAAACTCTTTACTATAAATATCCAGAACCTACATTTTAAAGCAAATATAATTCAAGCATCATAAAATTTATGCTTTATAAGTATATATGATTAGATGCTATCCTTTCCAGGATACACTTCCATTCCCATAAGCGGGTGCTCCCTTTGTTCAGCATCAGGATTTTCATTTGTTTTTTTTTTTTTTTTTTGTACCTGGGATTGAACTTGGGCCCTCGTGCTTCAGAAGTAGGTGACAGAACCACTGAGCCAAATCCCCAGCCCTATTTTGTCCATTTGGTTTTGATTCCTATTGGGTTATGTCTGAAATGCTGATCTATTCAGACACTTCAAGCACATTTTGGTGGCTTAGAAAAGCAGTCAAGATGTGAAGAATATACATGCTTAAGTCAGTTTTTATAGAAAGAGCTTATAGCTTCTCTTTCCCAGGGTTGCCTTGTGATTTTTTTTTTTTTTTTTTTTTTTTTTTTTTTTTTTGCTTTTTGAGACAGGGTCTTGCTATGAGTTCTGGCTGGACTTGAACTTACTATGTAGCTCAGGCTCACCTTGAACTCATGGTGATCCTCTTGCTTCAGCCTTTGGAGTGATTTCTTAGAGAGATTACTGGCTCCACCACAGTTTTTGTCTTCTAATTTTGAGCCAACAGAGGTTCAAGTTGGAGTTTTGAGTCACTAACAACCTTTGTAGACATGTTTAAAATCAGATAGTGAGATCTGTGATACAAGTTTGCATTCAACCAAACCTGCAGAGTAACATCTGCTGGTCAAAGATCACATCTCTATTTTGATTGATATCCTTTTAGGAATTTATCGATGACCTTAATTATATAGCAAAAACAACAAAAAAAAATCTATTCCTTGGCAGGAAGGAGTTATATGTGCTAATATATGCATTACTGTGGGAGTTTTTTACATTAAAAAAATCAAAATTTCTTCTTCAATTAGCAAACAACATACTTCTTTTTCAGGGGAAAATAAACTGCTGTAGACTTTGAAAATAAAAACCCTTGTTAGCCATTTCGTTAAAACTGTCCTTTGGCCAAGCACGGCGGTATATGCCTGCAATCCCATCTACTTGAAAAGGTGAGGCAGGAACTTTTCAATTCCAGGACAGCCTGGCCAGTAACTTAGTGAGACTTTGTCTCTAAACAGTGATGGGGATGAGTGGTGGTGCACTTTCCTTGAATGCCCAAGCTCCCTGGCTGAATTTTTACTACTATAAAAAGAAAAAGGCCCACAAAAGTGCATTTTGTCATTTGACCCCTGGGAGGTCTTTTCTTTTTTTTCTTGGCTCAATTCCTAGGCTACTGTATCATTTAGCTTGATATTCTATGCTTAGGTGTCTTTCTTTATGCATTGCATCAAGAGGTTACATAGAAACTCAGAATTAGAAAAATTCTGTATGTTTACTAGACAGTGGTACTGCCTTCAAGTTTTCTTATTCTTAAAACATTATTTTCACATGCCTCATTAACATTTAAAGTAGCAAAAATTTTAAAACATAATTCACTATACCATAAATATAAAAGGAAAGCAAAGAGAGTTCAGCTAAATTTAACAATGATATCAAGAATATACTAAAAAGTATGCATTAAAAGTGTGTAGGGCCAGGGATCTAGCTCAGTGGTTCCACTGCCTGCCTCGCAAGCACAAGGACTTGGGTTCCATCCCTGGTACCAAAAAAAAAAAAAGTGTGTATTAGCTCACAGTGACTTCTGCTGTAGCTTTTGCTCAATGATGTCTGAGAAACGAGGAACTTTTTTTGAAATGGCCACACGGATGTCATCACTCCTACTGAGGCAGCTTCTGGACTTTGCTTTAAAGTGTAAAAGTGATGATAATCCCAGCTCACAAAGGTACGTAGTTGCAAATGGCATAAGGATTTCTAGAGCTGTCTTTGCCAGGTTCGGAAACACTGTGAATTGAGCACACCAAAAATCCTCAAGCTTCATTGTTTCAAATTCCATTAGGATTTGGCCGCTAGCTCGTAATTCGGCAAGATCGTTTTTCATTAAATAACCATCATCGACAAAATCAAGGTTAAAAAGAAATGGGTCCAGGATCCACTTACTTGCCTCATCAAGATCTCCGACAGAAAAATATCCATGGAAGAAGTTGCTCAACTGTTGGAGATGCAGTGTTATTTCCTGTGCAATGCACAGTCCTTCATTATCTGAGATAATTATTTCTTCAACAAAAGGAAAACTGGTAAAATTTCTTTTCTCAATTCGTTTTTGCCAAAATGGAAACTTCCTAAGAAAAGCAGACACTTTTTCTCTAGCAGATACTGTGTTCATCCCAGTCCTTTGCAGAGATGCACTAAGTTCATTTAGGTGTTTGAATAAATCTGCAAGGTATGCTAGGTGAAGTTTAAACTCTTTGTTTTCAAAACCATCAATTAAATTACTGCTTTGGTGGTGAAGAAACTGATTTATTTCTTCATACATTTCAAAGATATGGGTAAGTATCTGGCCTCGGGAAAGCCACCTCATTTCTGTATGGAAAAGGAGGACATTATATTCTATACCGATTTCTTCAAAGAAAGCCTGAAATAGGCGATGATTCGGCACTCTCCCTTTGATGAAATTTATTACCCTCACCACAGTAAACAATGCCTCCCTCAGTTTTACAGGCAATGTCTTCACGACAAGTGCATGAGGGTTCAACAGACAATGTGTGATCACGATATGAGGCACCTCTTTTTTCACATAGGCAACAAATTCTGAATTCTCTCCCAGCATAGAGGAGGCACCATCAGTACAAACAGAGCCACAAACATCAAGTGCTATCTTGTGCTTCAGAAAGAAGTCTCTGAAGAGATTGAACACATCTACTCCTTTCAAGGTTAACTGCAGTGGTTCACAGAATAGGAATTCCTCTACAATCTCTTTTTCTTTTATGTATCGAACAAACGCCATTAGCTGACTGCAGTCGTCCATGTCTGTTGTCTCTGCAAGCTGAATACCCACCTTAAGAGGGCTGGCTTTGATATCTTCTAGCACTTGCTGTAAGATATCCTGGCTCATTTCATCAATTCTAGAATGGATCACATCATCTGACAAAGGTACCTGTTCAAGTTTCTTTTGTGCATCTGGTCCCAAAACTATCTGTGCTATTTCCAGGGCACAAGGTTTCACTAATTTTTCAGCGACTGTATGAGGATTCTTCTCCTTGGCACATAAATATGCAAACTGATACGATGCTTGTAATAAGGCATCTTCATGAGATGCAACTCCAAGTGTTTTCAAGGTTTCCCTCTGATCAGATGGTGCTCGCACATGACTATGGAGATCATGCCCAGCTATACCACCATGCTGTCTGTTAAAATGGTCTGACAGTTTCGAGGGCCTGAGGTCAGCATTTGAAAATACTGACTTACATAATACACACTGTGGGCGTTGGGTCCCATCAACCTCTGTTGTACAGGTGAACCAGTAACGTACATAGTCATCATCCCATTTGCGTTTCTTTGACATGGCACACAAAAAAATTCTCAGGTCCAGAGACGCCACAGAATTTTCTTCTGGGAATAAAATACAACCAATGCATTAAAAATCAGTGGTTACCCACATACAAGCAAAAGCACATGCTATCTTGTCATCACGTTATTCTGTACCTGCTAAGGATATCCGGAAACAGATCAGTTCAAAGCCACAACAGCATGACAACACAACTTAAGGTAAACAACTCAGAGCAAAGGCCCTGGAATAAATGACTTGCCAGCAGGTCAGATGTAAGATATCTGTGCTGAGGCAAATTATGAATAACAATAAATCCTTCACTAGATAACTGCAGCTACAGGTTCATTTGCTTTCAGTAATGTTCAAAATAAATCTATATTTTGTACTCCCTAGAAAGGACATCTCACTACTTCCCACTCCTTCCATTTTGCCCAAAAGATGGACGTTCACCTTGAGTTAAGAACCTCTGAATTGCTGAGTGTGGTGGCGCATGCCTGTAATACCAGAACTTGGGAGGCTGAGGGAAGATCGTGCTGTAAGTCAAGTTTGAAGCCAGCCTAGGCCATGTAGTGAGTTCAACTTGAACTACACAGCAAAAACCTGTCTTTTTTTTTTTTTTTTTTTTTTTTTTTTTTTTGTAGTGGGGATTGAACTTGGGCCTCTGCACTTGCAAGGCAGGCAGCAGAACCACTGAGCCAAAGCCTGGCCCCAAAACCTGTCTTTAACAAGCCCAGAAGGGAATAGTTATTCACCACATGCTTCAGGGAAGGGTGTATTTTGATATGGTGGTTGATTCTTTTTATTTTATTTTTTGTTGGTTGATTCTTTTTAATAGTCAAAGATTAAACAGGTCTGTAAAACTATTTGATCCTTGAGTTGCTCTGATTTCAACTTAAGCAAGATTTTCAAACAGGAAGCTTGGAGTGGTGGTGAGTGCCCTAATCCTAGCTACTTGGGAGTTGAGGCAAGAGGACTGTAAGTTTGAGCTGGGCAATTTATTGAGATCCTGTCTCAAAATATAAAGAAAGAAAGAAAGAAAAAGCCAGCCAGCCAGCCTAGGGGTATAGCTTAATGACAGAGTGCCTAACTAGCATGTGTAAGGCCTTGTTTAATCACTGGTGGTGGTCCCCATAGATCCCCAGTGGAAATACGTCCTTAAGTCTGATTAAGTCTACTGTGACACAAAAGCAGGCTACAAATATGGCTCAGAACTTTCTTGCTGCTAAGTGTAACATATTCTCAGTTCTTTTTTTTTTGGTACTGAGGATCGAATTCAGGACCTTGCACTTGCAAGGTAAGCGGTGGGACCACTGAGCAAATCCCAGGCCCACTCTAAGTTCCTGATTCATATTGTCTATGTATAAAGGCAAAGAACATGCTCAAATGAAACAACACTGTTACTGAGACTTTAGAAAAATTCCTCTCATACGAAAACACCCTTAATAAAAAGGTAAGAAATTTCATGGTGCTTTCTCACATAACTACCTTTCAGTAAAAACAATCAAGATAGAAGCCTACATAAGAGAATGAAAATAAGCAGCATTCCTAACACTGGGCTTAACTCAAGGACAGGATGTAGGCCACTGGTTCTCTAGTTTAGTAAACGGGAATATGGGTCACCTGGAGTAGAGGCCTAGAGTCTGTATTCTAAATAAGTACTTCAGATTGTTCTCATGGATGGTAAATTAGAGCAGTGATCTATAGTTAAGAGGTTAAGAGCAGGCTCTCACCATCACTAGGAACACTTCTGAAAGTCCACATCCTTGCACTACCTTAGAATTAATCATCTCCAGAAGGACAAAAGAATATAAAATAATTAGACTTTGTGATCCTGATATGGTATGTATCTTCGTAAGGATTCAGATTTAGAGGACTGAAAATATTTCCTTCAAGCCAATCCCTAGCTTGAAAATACTCTAGGTTGTCAAGTGAACAGTCCAAATGCTTTAATAGGCATTAAACCTTTCTAAGTTGATGACAACTGCATATGAAAGTTGAGGGACCCAAAAAGAGAAAGCTATGCCTTTTCTCTTTTTTCCTCTCCTCAGCAAAGTTAGTCACACATATACATAGGTATATCTGAGTTTTCAAAGTTCTATGCCTTAGAATGTGGCTGAAATAATTTACAAGAGATATATTTAAATCTAAATGCCCACTTTATTAAAAAAAAATCAGAGTAAGTAAGGCACAAATACCTACTTTAACTATTAGCTTTGTACTGGCTATGCTAAGATTAATTAGATGCAAAATATGTTAGTAGTAAGTTGATCTGCTATAAGGTTGTTACGAACTACTTAAAAATTGGAGGATAGGGCTAGGGATTTAGATCAGCAGGGATGCCGCCTGCCTTGCAAGCACAAAGACCTAAATTTGATCTCAGGTACCAAAAAAAAATAAAAAAAATAAAAAAAAGTAGGATGTCTACCAATCAATAATTAACTAAATTTCAAAAAGTTGATCCGAGCTGGGAATGGTGATTCACACCTGTAATCCCAGCTCTTGGGAGGCTGAGATAGGAGGATTGCCCGAAATTGAGGCCAGCCTGGGCATAGTGAGTTCAGGGCCAGCCTGAACTACAAACAGAGACCCTTCCTCAAAACCACCCCTCCACAAAAAGTTGATCTTAAATTGGGCATGGTGGCTTACACCCGTAATCCCAGCACTCTGAGAGGGTGAGGCAGAAGGATAACAAATCTGAGCCTAGCCTGGCTTATTTATCAAGACCTTGTCTCAAGAGAAAAAAGACACAAAAAAGGGTTGGGTCTGTAGCTCAGCGGGAAGGCCCTGGATTCAACCCTTGACATCATCAAAAACAGAAGTTGATCTTAAACCTTCTTTTGTCAAGCACTACTGGGATAACATGGCCACTTGTTTAAAACTGCTTCTCATTAAAACATTCTGACATCAGGATAAAAACGTTTATCTTAGTGGATTCTGTAATTTATATTTACCATGTACGATTGGAGAAGCAGAAGGAATGAAGGAAAAAGCTTTGGTTTAGTTTTAGAAATCATTACAGGACCTGTTAAAGAGTTTTCTTATCCATCCCATGCTACTCAAGTTTCCAACCCCTTCACAGAGAATAGGTGGCAAGAATTTTCAATATCCTTGGTGATGAACTTACCGCCCAGGAGGCTTTCCTGTGTTTTAGAACCTCACAATTTTCACTTGCTTCTCTGTGTTTAGGAATAACAACAGCCTAAAATGTAAACATTAAAAAAATCATCACAAGAAATTATTAGTCTAAACAGATACAAGAATGATGTTGTGTTAAATGTTTTCACTTAGAGATACAGACAGACTTCATCATGTACAAGTGAAGTGAGGTCTGAGATTTCCTTTGAAATGTATTCGGCACACACGTGAATATACCCATAAAGTCGGCAGAGCTAAAAGATGTAAGATTGACCTTGGGGTGGTAACTCTAAGTTGGACGATGGATGCAAATCATTATGCCATTCTCACTACTTTTATGAACAGAGAAAGGTATATGTAATAAAGCAAAAAAAAAAAAAAAAAAAGCATTAAGATAGAATACAATTTTAGAATGGTTCTGTTGACCTGAAAGCCCATGATAGATCTGACAAAGAAAATGTTTTTTGCGAGTTTATGAAGCATTGATATGGAAAAATACATGGCTGAGAAAAAAAAATCAGTTAAAAGCGAACATTTACACAGAAACATGTAGGAAATGATAGTACATATATTTCTGGAGTGAAAACTCCAAAGCGCAGTTGCAAGCCTAAAACTGGAACCAAAGGCAACTTACACTTCTGCACCGCCTAGGACAGCTCAGGGTAGGCGTGGCGTTTGGGGAGGGAGAGGAGGAAACCACGGCATTTTACAGTTAAAATCAATAGCGAGAAATTTCATCTGTAGCCGGGAAGGGGATGTGGTAGGGCAGCAGCCGCTCTAGAGGCAGACGCCTGGGATCTTGACTTGAGAAGAGGCTGGGACCTTTCAGTTCCTCAAATGGGGATAACAGTACCTACCTTACAGGGCTGTGGGAGGTTTGATTATGAGAATGCATGCACAGAGCACGCTGCTCCTAACTGAGCGGCCCTGACGGCGCGGTTATGAAGAGCGGAGTTGGGAGCGGGCTGGGCGCGCTAGGGCCGTGGCAGGAAGACTGGCGGGATCCCCGCCCTGCTGAGCCCGAAGCGCAGGCCAGGGGATGCTTGGGCTTCTTACAGGCACCAGTTCCC